ATTTCGATATTCCACTTTTGAAAGTATGTGGCTTTCTAATTTGGCATGAGGTTAATTTCATACGTTTTTTTTTTCTTTGTTTCAGTATATACCGAATGAATGGGCTAAAACGGTACTCAACGACGTCGAAAATCTCACGGAAGAGAAAATCGACGAAGTCATAATTCGGTTCCTCAAAGATTTTGAAGAAGGGCGCTTAGAGGCCGAAAAGTGGCCTTTGTACTTCAGTGCATATATGGTCTCTAAAGCGGCGTTTAATGCCTACACAAGGATTTTGGCCCGAAAATACACGGGCTTTCGGGTCAATTGCGTTTGCCCCGGATATGTGAAGACTGATATCAACTACAATTCGGGTGTGTTGACTGTGGAGGAAGGCGCGAAAGGCCCGGTTAGGCTAGCGTTGTTGCCTAATGATGGGCCCACGGGCCTGTTTTTCGTTAGGAATGAAGAGTCATCTTTTGAGGGATGATAATATGAAGTATGATGGATTGTGAAGAATACTTTGAACCAGTTGGTTAAAATTGAGTTATTAGGTTATGTTTAAAATTATGGTTTAAGTACTTGTGTTCAATAAAGATGGCTCTGTATTGTGTGACTGTGTCTAATATTGGCCACATCTAGATTAATATCTATATGCGACCTGTTCTGTAACTGAATTTGTGATTTATTACAAAGTATAACTGAATTTTACCTTTTTTAGAAAAGTATATTACTGAATATCTTTTGATCTAAATACATTTCCTTATTTAATAATCAATAATAGGGTTACAAACAAATCGAGACCTTATTGATCGAGCAATGTAAATTTTTTGAGCTAGCTCGAGCTAGTCGAGCCATGGTTTAGAGGGCTCGACTCGTCAAAAGGATAGAACTGTTCGATCTCGACTCGAGAGTCGAGACAACGTGCGAATTGATATGCTTGAACAAAATTGCTGGAGTTCGACTCGAGTTAATATTTTTATGAAATTTAGTAAAATTTCAAACATTTCTAGAGGGAAATACCAGTCGTACATTTATATCATCATAAAGTACTAAGCTTGATCAAAATTAACCTCGTAATAAACTTTACAATGAGTTTTATCGTTTAATTCTTTTTAGCAATTCTTTCTAGCAACCCCTTTTATATTAAATATTATTATAGTACAATTAACATTCTCAATTGCCCTGATTGAACTTTGAAGACAATCATCAATAATGTCGAATCTTCTTTCCTCCTTGTTGTAAACAAATTTTAGTTCACAAACACAAGATTTCTTCAGCTCGACCTTTTAATCATCCATGGCTGGAATAGCAAAGAAGTAAGCAATTTACTCTTGCTCGACTTATTGCTCAATTTCTCTCGAGCCTTTTTTTTTTTAATCAGGACCGTTATTTGAAACACGAACCATGGAGTTTGCTCTGGACCCAGAAAAGTTCCTGTTGATTATTTGATTATTTACATGATTTTATGTTGAAATCTTTTTTTCTTTATCTGCTGAAATTGCGGTAGAAAGTGAAAAAAGATGAATAATTTATGCTCTAATTGAATATCAGTCTTGAAATNAAAAAAAAAAAAGTGTGAGATAGGAAATTACGGACACCAGTTTCCATTTTGAGAATTAAAATCTGAACAAGGGTTCACTTGATGAATAGCATATCAGGGGTGTCTTAATAATAGTTGTTAGATGAACAGAGGTATTTGAGTTTCTTAAAGATTTTGTTCACTCTTCCTATGTTGCTGTCGATGTGTGGGTTTGTTTTCTTTGTTCTTCAATTTTTTTTTTTACTCTGAGTTTCTAAGTGTAGATATGCTGTTGTAACCGGAGCAAACAAAGGGATTGGACTTGAGATATGTAAGCAGTTGATATCGCAAGGTATCACGGTGATTTTAACAGCTAGAGACGAGAAGAGAGGAAAAGAAGCTGTTGAAAGCCTCGAAAGTTGCGGTTTTCCCGGTTGTCTTACCTTTCATCAGCTTCAAGTGACTGATTTAGCAAGCATTTCATCTCTTGCTGCATTCGTTAAGTCCCAATTCGGAAAGCTAGATATCTTGGTATGTATGATCTGTTTCTTTTTAAACATAGTTAGAATAATAATAATGTGATTTTAGTAGAAGAGAATCTGCTTATATCGGGTAAAATGTATAAGATCGTGATTGCCAACCGTTGAAAGTTACGGGGCTGAAATTGCAATTAAACCTTTCTTTACGTGCATAGCTAAGTTTGAGGCCATGGTGCAGGTAAACAATGCAGCAATTCTTGGAGCTGTAATCGATGATGAAGGCCAGAAAGCTTGGGCTGCTTCTATCAGTGGGGTAAATCCGCTTTTTTTTTTTTTTTTTTGGTTGCGGTTAATCACCTCACAGTTCGCAAAATTTAACCCCTAAAGTTTAGCCTAATTGTTTAGGACGTGCTTGTATACAAATATATCCGCTCAAAATGAGTTTTTTTTGTTAATCAGAGTCTTATTTTGAAAATGTTGGTACGATTAGTTGTTAGTGGGAATTTGAGGTTATTTTTAAATAATATTTAAAATAAAATAATTAAAGTTGATATGATGTTAAAGTAGGAGATAGATGATGTGAAGTAATGATTAGTTAAAACTATGTGAGTTGATGAACAATGAATTAAAACTGAATTGATGTATATGAATGGTTGTTTGGTATTATATAATTATATTATTAATATTGAAAATAATGGGGTTGAGTTAAAGTTGGGTTGAATTTTGAGTATACCGTAGTTAAAAATTAAAAAACAATTGTTTTAAAGCCTCGGGAAATTTCTGTTAACAATGACTTGATTGATTTGTCCATGCTTTTTCTTCGTTTGTCGTGTGAATGCAGACAGGTCCGAAAATCGATTGGGCTGACTTAATGATAAAGCAGCCGTTTGACTTAGTTGTCGAATGTATTCAAACAAACTATTATGGCGCCAAGAGAACTACAGAAGCACTTCTTCCTCTTCTCCATTTGTCCGATTCGCCAAGGATTGTTAATGTCTCATCTTCTGCAGGAAAGCTTAAGGCAAGCGTATCCTTAATTAACTATCATTCTTCGACTCTTTTGATTCTATACTCTACAACACTTTTAATAAACTTCCAATTTTTCGATTTTTCGACCATTTTTCCGATTCAGAATATACCCAGCGAATGGGCTAAAGAAATACTCAAAGATGCTGAAAATCTTACAGAGGAGAAAATCGATGATGTGGTAAAAATGTTCCTTGAAGACTTCAAACAAGGTTTGTTAGAGGCTAAAGGCTGGCCTCTCTACTTCAGTGCATATAGAGTCTCGAAAGCAGCCATGAATGCTTACACAAGGGTCCTGGCTCGAAAAAACCCGAGCTTTCGGATTAACTGCGTTTCTCCTGGAGTGGTGAAAACCGACATGAATTACAGTATTGGTTTGTTGACTGTGGAGGAAGGAGGTGAAAGCCCGGTGAGGCTAGCATTGCTGCCTGATGACGGGCCCACGGGCCTGTTCTTTGAGAGGAATGAGGTTTCATCTTTTGAGGAATAGTAAGTTTGGATTGTGAAGATATTATTTGTTTGTGAAAATTTTATTCGTTTGTGGAAGGCTTTGCAAGTCGTGTAAATTCGATGAGAGTCTATATAGTAAAACTGATTTTACCTGTCTTGAATTTTTCTATTCCATTCTTTGTTTCATTTGGTATTTCATGGCAAGCTTGATTTTTTTCTCTAGTTTAACCAAAAACGAATTTTTCTCATTCATAAAGACCATGTGGGTGGGCACCGGCCAAGATCCAATTTTTCCCATTACTGAATTAGAATGCACATTTCCAGAATGAAGGGGAAAAGGAGAAAAGGAGAAAATAATATCTGGTAATTAATTTTATTGTTATTATTTTCAAGAATTTCTGTACCACACGATAGAAAAGTACTACGAGTAAAAGAATCAACAATGATATATTNCTGAAACTCAAATACTCATTGGCCACTTCACCTGTCGCCATGGCAGGAATAAGCTCCAAAAGCTCCGAAATCAAGAAGTAACGAAGAACCAACATATCCTTTCTTTACACACAAAAAAAAAGTTTTGATTTTTCCCGCATCAGTTTCTTGATTATTTGCGTCTTTCGTTTTTCAATCGTTCTTACCCACAAAAAAGTTTGTGTTTGTCTTTTTTAAGGTACGCTGTTGTTACAGGGGGGAACAAAGGTATTGGGTTCGAGATATGCAGACAGCTGGCTTCTCAGGGTGTTTCTGTGGTGCTGACCGCCAGAAACGAAAAGCGAGGGCTTGAAGCCGTCGAGAAGCTGAAAAAATCTGGGCTTTCTGATGATTACGTCATGTTCCATCAGCTTGATGTCACGAATTTGTCCAGCGTTCAATCTCTTGCTGGGTTTGTCAAATCCAAGATTGGGAAGCTTGATATTTTAGTATGCCCGCAGATTGTTCCGTCGAAATTGTGCCCTCTTAAGTTTGCCCGTGATTCTTATTTTCTTGAAAACGTGTTGTTTTGAAATATGATGTTTGTGTTGTGTTGAATTCTAGTGGAGTTGTTCTGAATTTTCCCCAAAAAATGATAATCATTGGGATCTTTTTATGTTTTTGTTTTTGTATATGACTGTAGAAATTAGCTGAAGTTTATGGCTGCTGTTTAGTTAACCATACAATCCTGTTGTTGTTTGAAATTTCCAAATTATGTTGCTAAGATGATCATATAGTAGCAGAACAATCTGGATTGACAAAGGGATAAATTTTTAGTTTCCCTGTTTTTGCTGCACTGTAAAGAATGAACATGATGTACTTAAAGGGCTTGTTCGGCTAATATGTGCAGGTGAACAATGCTGGGGTTAATGGAGTTGCCGACAGTGAGGTAAAGTTTCGAATTTTCAATGTTTGCTTTTATTATTACCTAAGAAAGTTACATAATATATTGGAAATGTTTTTTAGTTGCATGCTACTTTAGGTCTTATGATACTTACTGTGCTTTCCTGGTTCAACTAAAGAAGGTTCATTCCAAGATGAGAAAGTTATCATCTTTTATTTTTTTTGTTTCGTTCATTCATTCATTCATTCTTTCTTTTTTTTTCGGTCTTTTTAAATTTTCAGGGTGGTGGATCAAAAACCAGGAAAACTGAATATGATTTAGCAGTTGAGTGCCTGCAAATAAACTACTATGGACTAAAGAGGACTACTGAAAATCTTCTTCCCTTACTAGAGCTATCTGAGTCGCCAAGGATTGTTAATATTTCCTCCACAATGAAGAGTGTCGGGGTATGAGCTATATTTCTTCCAATACTTCTAACTGCAAATAGATGTGTTAGAATATTTACTTGACAATGTGTGGCTTATACTTAGACTTAGAAAGATAGATGCAAATCAAGAATGCTTTGCAGTCAGCTTTGAAAAAAAAAAAGAAAAAAAAGACGTGCTTTAGGTTTCGGATGTTTGAATTTACGTTTGACAAATTTATTAACATCTTATCCACCAAATATTATCCCTTACTGTACTTAATTATGTTCACTCGGTAAAGTAATAAATCTAATATCTAACTTTTGTTGAGCTTTTCGTTTCGTTTCAGAGCAACAAGTGGGCCCAAGAGAAACTCAACGACATCAAAAACCTTACGGAGGATAAAATCGATGAAGTCCTAAACGAATACCTTAAAGACTTCAAAGAGGGAACTTTGTCTGCCAAAGGCTGGCCGAGCTATTGGGGTGCATACTGTGTCTCGAAAGCGGCCGTGACTGCATACACCAATCTTCTTGCCAAAAGGTATCCTAAAATGCTGATTAACTCGTTGTGCCCTGGTTGGGTGAAGACCGACCTCAGTAGACACTCGGGCCCATTGAGGCCCGAAGAAGGGGCAAGGAGCCCAGTGAGGCTAGCCCTTTTGCCAGATGGTGGGCCCTCGGGCAAGTTCTTTGATCAGATGCAAATGTCCTCACAACTTCTTTAGGAGTGATCTCTGTGTGGTTTCAAGGTTGGATTTTTTTTCTTGAATAATTTGAAGTTGAACAAAACTGAGATGGTGGTCATGTTGTTTTTCTAGTGTATATGTTGTTGTGCAATGAATGTAAAATAAAAAGACTGGTTATAATCATGTTTGAATTATATCAGTATTTTCATCTACTATTCTATTTCATCCATTTTCATTTGGTGTTTTAGTAAAAATTGATGGTGAAGGAGTGAAATCTCTAGAATGGGTTCATCATATTTGAATCAAATGTTGATTTGTTTGTTGCTAATTTATTGATTACTCAATAGCACAATATTCATTAGTCTGTGCTGAGCTTACAAATTTGCACTTTATTTTTTTCTTATGGACTATCATTTGATAATGGCTGTACCATCTTCTTGCTCCAAGATATTAGTGCAAGATTTTCCTTTTAAGAAGTGATAACATACGTGCGTCATTTTTACGTGCAGTTTAGAATGATTTATGTGCTCGTTTTGTCGTAGTTTGATATGTATTACTACCAAGGTTCTGAAAATGGGATTGGTGATTGAACCGGTCAAACTACTAGTTCAATACTGGTTTGACCAGTGGTTTGAACCAGTTGGCCGGAGATGAGGATTTTCGTGCTGGTCGAGGAGCTTCACGATCGTCCGCCATGCTCGGCTGGTCGCTGTCATGACGGCCAAGGAGCCTTAAGTGCGTACATGAGGCTTATGGCTAGAAAATATCCGAGTTTTCGCATAAATTGCGTTTGCCCGGGTTTTGTGAGGACTAACATCACTTGTAATCAAGGCTTGTTAAGTGCGGATAAAGCTGCTGAAGCCCCTGTGAAGCTTGCGGTCGTGCTCCATGGAGGCTCGTCCGGCTTGTTCTTCAGGTGATTCAAGGTTTCACCTTTCTGAAACGGATGTAGTATGAATTTCTTTTGCTTCTTGCTATGAATTATGTTAGTCTAAAAAATATAAATCAATGATGCTAATATGTAATGGGGATATTACCACTAAATAAATTACTTCATAACATATGAATTGCTCAAGCGGTATTTTTGCCCACGAAATGAAAAGAAACAAGAGTTCACTTCACAACCAATATATATCCAATCATTTTTAACTCAATTAACTCAACTCCACTATTATCAATATAATTAAACAATATCAATCAATCACTTTAATTCACTATTCATTCACTTACATAATTTTAACTAATTATCACTTCAAATCATCTTTCTCTTACTTTTACATCAAATCAACTTTAATTATTTTATTTTAAATATTATTCTAATATACTCACTAATAACTAACCATACCACCCTTTTCAAAATTAACCTAACCAAACCAAACTAAAAAATCCAAACAAATAAAAAAAAAATTATATCCAAGCATCTGATCACAGCCCTAGATTTTACGTGGTCGAACACATCATGGTCACAAATCTTTGCCGACAAAAAGTTCCTAACGATATTCTATACGACTGAGTCTGGCTAGCCATCAAAAGGCAAAACAACCTGATTGAATTATTTGGTCTTCGGTTATTGTTAGTTTGTTACACTCTTCCGAGAGAAAAAAAAAAAAAAATCATTCGATATTGTTGGCTCTCTTAGCAGCGGCAAGAGTGTTGGAAAGTAGCATTGCTATGGTCATGGGGCCCACTCCACCCGGGACAGGTGTGATTGCCGAAGCAATCTTGCTAGCTTCCTCATAGCAAACATCACCTACAAGCCGATACCCTCTTGGGCTTGCCGTGTCCTGTAAAACCGGGAATGTACAGAATTTCATAATATTCTCGAGTTTCCAAAAGAATTACAAATAGCCCCCAACTTCGTGCCTAGCGACCCATAATGTTTTAGGAAATGCAATGAATGTAAGTGCAAAATGTTAGACCAAAAAATGGGGCTAATGGTACTTAGAAAAGTTGGGGGATGTGAATTTGGAAAATATTGGATAGGAGCAGCGCAATTTACGTTAATCGGAGGTAAAAAATGCAACATGATTATCATTTTGACGTGGATTTTTTTCCTAATTCTTTGATTTTCAACCATAGTTCATG